GGTAGATTCCTTCTTATTACATTTATTGTCATCTTCTACATTTATTACATATTTATGTTACCACATTTACTAGCATTCATTGAATATAAACGTGCTATTTAACACTATCAAACGCTGTTCACCACATCAATTCCTTAACACATTTGATCTTGAATTTATTATTCTTAACTAAAATTCACCCTATATCTCATCATTAATTAGTTTAACTAAAAGATTTAATACTTTTTTGATCAAACAAATACCGTCACTATTTAATCGTCGTATTATACTCCCCGCATAACTTATTCCTCAACTAAACGACCCCAAAAAGTTCACAAATTGTGACTATTCCATACCTTGAGTTGAGTAGGAGCAGAAATCGTCCTTTTTAGTGCCATAAGTCGAATAGTAGCAGAATCCAACAATGGAACCTCCGCGTAATACATTTCAGATTAGTCTTGACCACTAGCTGCATATTTTTTGCACAGAGAAATGCTGCTTTCTCAATTGTAAGCTGTGCCTTTTAGCAGGAACGCCATGTAGCATTTATCACAGCTTCAAAGTAGTATTTTAAATTGTATTCGGTTACATTTGTTGCTTGCCCAAATGCTACAGCTCTACCACATAAAGACATAATTGACCGAAGCACCCCAGTGCAGTTTATTTCAATAAAACAGAAAAATATATGCAGCGACTTACTAATTAAGGCACTGCACAATATCAAAAAGCCGGATGAACTTTGGCAAGAATTGACCACCTTTAAAGAATTTATTTTGGCTCAGTGTGTTTAGAAAGCTTTGAGACTGAAGCACAAACTCTGTATTGCAGACAATTTTAAATACAAGAAAATGAATGAAAAACATAAAATGAAAAGGGCTCAGTCTTTTGAAGTGGAAAAGTAAATGTACATTTGTCTCTTTAACATGGAATAACATTCATTGTTTAGCTCAGCGACACTTGTACCGAGCTACAGAGTGGTAACTCTGCTCATCTAATATGAAATTATTGTAATTTCTAAATCCTACAGAATACACCGGAATCCTGCTTTACAGCTTTACAAAATTGTGTAAGCAAAAATAGGGATCAGTGTATCAGTATCCTCAATAAATAACAACAACAACAATAACAACAACAGCATACCCAGTATAATCCCACGGGTGGGGTCTGGGGAGGGTAGTGAGTACGCAGACCTTACCCCTACATGGAGGGGTAGAGAGGTTGTTTCCAAAACACCCTCGGCTCAAGAAAATGTGGAAAGGAAGAATAGGGGAGAAGAAAAGGAGGAAAGAGGGGGGGTGGGGGAAGAAAGCCGCTAAGCAAAGAGGGGAAAAACTAGCATCAAACAGTAACCATCAGGGAGCAACAATATCCAGTAAAAGGGAAGAAAAAATAGCATCAAACAGTAACAATTAGAGAGCAACAATCCCAATAGCCATTTACAAAAACAAAGGACGTAGTTGCAAAGTACCAGATACAATAACAAACTAGACAGAAGTAACTTTCAACCCACAGCAAGAATATTACTAGTACTACTGGTGAACCTATGAAAACTCGCAACTACCTGTCAACTCACCACCTTAATCCTTGACCTCCACACCTTTCTATTGATAGTCATGTCCTCGGTTAGGTGAAGCATCGACAAGTCCTACCTAATCACCTCTCCCCAATACTTCTTAGGCCTATCCCTGCCTTTCCTCAAGCCCGCCATGGTCAACCTCTCACACCTCCTGACCGGGGCATCTATATCTCTCTCTTCACATGCCCAAACCATCACAGCCTCGATTCCCGTAACTTGGCTTCCATAGATGCCACTCTCACCTTGTCCCTGATAACTTAATTCCTTATCTTGTCTTTCCTGGTATGACCATACATCCATCTCAACATTCTCATTTCTACTACGCAGTATCCTCAATAAATCAAGCAAGAAATAAGATCAACGAAGACATACTCTGGAGGTGTCACACCACCCAATTGGATGATCGAAGCCATATTCTTCCTCGGGTTGACTAAGCAAATCCTGAAATAAATGCTGGCTCAAGAATGATTTGGGGATCATAAATCTCTGCCTCAGGTTCTCCCCAGCATAGATGACAAAGTGGCCCTTGAGTTAAACAGAGTGGCCATGTTAAGGTAAGCAGAGGGCAAAAGGTCATTTTGAGAAGTACAATGTAATTTTAGTCCATTTAGTAACAGAAAAAATTCCTTTGGACAATAATATAAGCTGCTTTCAGTAGGAAATAAAAAGAAAAGATACAATACAAATCCAAGTCTAGAGATGAATAAGTAATAACTCTCACACTTAAAGACAAGCGCTCATATACTAAAAAATTCACTGAGGAACTCCATATCGAAAAGGATCCAGCAGTTCATAAGCGAAACGACATAACAAGTTTCCTATCATAATGAATTTTTACAAAGCATAGATCAGATTTCCCTTGTCTTAGTTATAGAGACATAGTGAAGCATTTTCGTAGTGCTTATATAGACTTCAAAAAGCAGTCAGCTTTGGTGTATGACTAGTAAAATGGTGTGCTTTGAGGAGTAACTAACTATGTTAAGACTTAAGTAGGAAGTTAAGCAAGATGCCCTGGATCAGATTAAATCAACTTACACCAAGCAGATTGAACAAGTAAAGCTATTTTAAGAATGGACTTGTTGAAGAAGCTATGTCACTCTTTCATAAGTTGGAAAGAGAGGGAGAAGATAATGACATTGAACTTTACAATATTGTCATTGATGGATTGTGCAAAAATGGAAAGTTGGACAAAGCTCATGCCATTTTTGAAAAGCTTTCTTTAATAGGTTTACATCCTAACGTGATAGTGTACACTACAATGATTAATGGGTTTTGTCTAGAAGGATTGTTAGATGAAGCTAAAGATATGCTAAGAAAAATGGAGGACGATGGCTGTTTGCCAAACAATGTAACTTACAATGTTATTGTACAAGGGTTTCTGAGAAGTAACAGAATTGGTGAAACGAGGGCTTTCTTAAAGGAAATGACTGGGAAGACCTTCCCATTTGATACAACTACAACAGAGTTTTATAGCAAAGGATCCTTCTTTGCTTGACATGATACCAGAGTTTCACCCGGAAAAGAAGAAATGAAGATGCTTTCCCAATCTTATCCAATGCATTTGGGGAAACAGGAACAACGAAATTTGAACATTGCTTTTGCTTTATAGGCAAACTTATTGAGGAGGTAAATCACTTCTAATTCTGAATGTTTTGTCCTCTTTTTTTCTTGCAAATTAGATGCTATTGCACTCTTAATATGATAAATAATCTGAATTCCCTTATGAGCTATTCTCCTATTTCTTTATAAAGGCTAGAGGTTATTCTAAAAGCAAAATCAGAGCTTTAAAATTAAGGGGGATAGTGAATTAAAAGTGAAAGGATCATTAATGTTCTGATTTTTAGTTTTCTTAATATAATAAATGTTTTACACCCATGACATCTGAGAAATAAGTTCTTTGTGTCAAAGCCTCTTGTTCTTTCACTCTTTTCCCCTATCTGCTACCTCATCTCACTCTTTTCCCCTATCTGCTACCTAATCTTCTCCACTGGCTGATGGACAACTTGATGCCAGTCATTTAGTCACCTCTCTCTCTCTCTGCCATCTTTTTTCTTCTCATATATAGAAAGGATAAAGATTAAATTGAAGAAAAGGAAATAGTTGAAATTGGTATTGTACAACTACAAGCTCTCTATGGACTAAGATAATCAATCAATTAATAGGGTGTCCTAGTGTGAATTTTTTGTCTTGCTTGTATATGTGAAGGAATCTTCAAGTTGGTAAACACTCGGTGATCTCATTAGCTGATTTTACAATAAGAGCGCCACATCTTTAGAAATTAAATCACTTCAAGTTTTTAAGCTCACCATTATATATGGTTATATATATTCAGACATTGTCCTCTTGAATGTTGCATATATTAATTATAAAAAGGATTTTGATCTTTTTTTTTTTCCTTAAATGAAAAAAATGGAGTTGATCTTTTCTCATAGTTTCTAGTTCCTGGTACATCAACCATAAATGAAAATCACAGCTGACTAGATCAACCTTATTTTTAGATTGAATCCTCTTAGTTGTTATTTCATATTTCAAATTCAAATTCTCTCAGCAACTCTTTCTCAGATTTTCTGCTTGGTTAATAATAGATTTCCAGATTGTGGAAAAATGGCTCGTATGAAACAGACAGCCCGTAAAATCGACCGGTGGAAAGGCTTCAAGGATACAACTTGCTATAAAGGCTGCAAGGAAATCAGCCCCTACCACGGGAGGAGTGAAGAAGCCACATCGTGACAGCCCTGGAACTTTTGCTCTCCGAAAATATTAAAAGAGTACTTAGCTTCTCATTCGGAAGTTGCCTTTCCAGAGGCTTGTCCGTGAGATTGCTCAGGATTTTAAGACAGATCTGATATTCAGCTTGCAAGACGAATTCGCGGAGAACGAGCTTAAGCTTATCACGATGTTGATTAATGATCAATCTCTTCATGGTTGCCCGTCTATGACTTATGGTACCGAACTAGTATCTTTTTGTCTGTGCCTGGAATCTAAGTTGTTATCTTAAGGACCTTATTGTGTTCTATAAATACTAGTACTAGGTTTACTAATACAAGTACATTGATTAAAATGAATTGCTGTTTCTGAAAAAGGAAAAAAAATCCTCTTAGTTTCCCAGAAATTGGAGTGAAACTTGTTCAAACCTGGCACAATGTAGTGTAAATTAACCAGAAGCGAGATGCTATGAGTACAAAAATCAGGTCTCTGCCCTGCCGATAGCATATCTGCAAAAACAAATTGTGCGGTGTCGCTTCTTCCAACTCCAAACAGACCTTGTAAGATAATATTGTAGGTAAAAATATCAGGTTTAAACCCCTTTCGAGAAATTTCAAGAAACAATTGCATGGCCTCGTCCAACTTCTTTTTCTTGCAGTATCCATTTATTAGTGTGTTATAACTAATAATGTTAGGCTCAATGCTCTTGTCTATCATGGAATCAAAAATTCTCCTCGCTCTATCCATTTGACCACGCAAACAGTATCCATCTACTATTGCATTGTAGGTGACCACAGTAGGCTCCACACCTTTTCTGATCATGTGTCTCATTATTTCCTCGGCGATCTTCAGCTTTTCCTTCTTTGCATAGCCCATTGATCACTATGCTGAAGGTGTACACAGTGGGATAAATATTAAGATTAACCATTTCATCAAACATAGTCCTAACATTTTCCCACCGACCAAACTTACACAAACCATCAATCAATGAACTATATGTGATAATGTCTGGTGGAACGCCTTTCTGTTTCATCTCGTTTAAAAGGTTGATAGCATCATCTAGCATTCTATCTTTGCAAAGGGCATCTATAACAATGCTATATATGCATGTGTCAGGCTTAGTGCTTCCTTGTTCCATTAATCGGAGCAAACTAAAAAATTTTCCAGTATGGCCCCTTTTGCTAAGCCCATTCATGACAGTTGCATACATGACTTCGTTAGGCTCACAAATATTCTCTCTCGTTAGTTTTTTGAACAAGTGAACCGCATCTTTAACCTTATTTTCAGCAAAGAGTCCCCCTATTAGGGTGTTAAAGGTAACAACATTATATGGAATGCCAGTTTTGAAGAAAATGGCTAATACAGAAAATCCTAAATCAGCACGGTGCATGAGGCAATAACTGTTAATCACTATACTCAAGATGAATTCATTAGTTGAAATACCTAATTTCTGCATTTCCCCAAAGAGAGAAACAACATCAGAGTAATGTTTCATATTTACCATAATTTTCAGCAATTTCGAGAAGCTGACAGGAGAAGGAAGAGGCTGCTCTCTAACCATTTGACGGAACACACTCACAGCATCATCTAAACACTTGACATTCTCAAACCTGTTCGAAACCCTAAGTTTACCCTTTGTCGAAATGAATGTATTGCTAGGAGATGAAGAATAATCTCTGCGCCCAATTGCGAAAGAAGAATGAGCAATCTTAGGGTTTACATGAGAAAGAGCCAAGAATGAGATGAAAGTATTGTAAGAAGGTAATTTTTGCGCTATATATGAGAAATACTCCCAAAAATGCAAAATAAAATGATTTTCCTTGGTGTGCAATTTTGTGAGATTTTGTGCTATTTTTGCATAATTATTTGTATTTGTCTGTNATTATAACAATTTAAGCGACCGTGCTAGAACCACGGGATTCGAGGGTGCCTAACACCTTCCCTCGGGTCAACAGAATTCCTTACTTAGAATTTCTGGTTCGCAGACTTCATTTGGAAAAGTCGAAAATTTCCTCGATTTGGGATTCAAGATAAACCGGTGACTTGGGACACCAAAAGCCAAACCTTTCCCAAGTGGCGACTCTGAATTAAATAAATAATCTCATTTCGAATATTGTCACTTAAATTGGAAAAACTCCACCCGCGCATTTTTAACCCTTCGGGACGGGCGCGCAAAAAGGAGGTGTGACAAACACCCCTAGTATTCTTGATGGGTTAGTCACCTCTTAGTGATGGGTAGGGTAACTTTAAATGCAGACAGGCCCCAGGAAGGAGTATTTATATGGGGATTGTTGGCGGTGTTTTTCATAATTCTATAGTAGGTGATTTGGTGGATTTTCAATCACAATTGGAGTCTGCACATCCTTTAAAGCTAAGCTATGGGTTTTTTACTGGTCTTCAAGAAGCCCAATGTCGGGGTTGGCGTTGAGTTGCCTTACAAATTGATAATTATAGTGTGGTTCATGTGTTACGGTCTGGAATGTTTGTGCCTTATAGGAATGGTGATATTGTCAACCACATCCGTCATCTCTTGACTAGGAACTGAGTGGTCTCTATTGCTCGTATCTACATGGAGGCTAATTCGATAGGTGATGATCTAGTCAATTTAGCCTTAGTCAAGAGCCTCGTTTTAAATAGCATACACTTGTGCTTTCTAGTATTTTTTTTCATTTCCTCACTTGATTTCTAGCTAATTTTCTTTTGTTGTTTATTTCACTTTCGAATATATATGACTTTATCTCTGTTAAAATACAAATATTAGAAAAAAGACAGACTTATTTTAATTTTTTAATATAGACAAATCAAAAGTGCAGCATAGTCTATAAGAAAATGTATTGGCAAAAAACCCGGAGATCTAATGGTTGTCGCTTATTGCGCGGAAAATGTCATAATTAAAGCATCAAAATAATTTAGGATTTACAGGAAACGGTGTCATATAACGACAGATAACCTCTACTGCCGCTGCGGAGCGCCACATCTTGTAACCACTCCAAAACCATTAAAATAATCTAATTGAATCAAAATCAAAATTTGGACTCTAGCCGAATATATTAGAGTATTATTTTCTAACATAAAAAATTAGAATAAAGAAGTAAAAACTAAACTAACATTTGGACATAGATTTGATTGAAACTTAAAAAAAGAATTTTTGGAGTTGTATTAAAAAATATTTTTTGGAAATTAAAGTTGTTTTTGAACATGTATTTTATTTGAAAAATAAATTGAAGTTTTGTGAGCAGAAGAAAAAAAATTCGCCCGAAAATAGACCTAAACCAGTTTTTGAGAACTTGAAATGAAAATTCAATTTTTTTTTTAAAAAAAAATGATTATATTCATGAACAACATTATTTTAAAATCTTTTTGAAAAAAATAGTCAAAATTTATGGTCAAAGGGGAGATAATAAATTACAAAGCCAAACTGATAACACTTAGTATAGTCGAATTATATCGAAATTTATGGGTCAGTTAGCTTAATTTCCTTATTTCCAAAATCAAAAACCTACACGAATTGAACACGAATAACTACACTCCAATGGTGGGCCCCGCTCCAATAAATCACAATAACTAATCTGACTTCGCAAAACCATTTGTCAAAAGTCAACGCATTATTTTAACAGGCGATAACTCCAATTAAAATGGAGTTCGAAACTTAAATTGTGCCAAAAATGACACAAAATACGTTTCTACTGTTAAATTTTTTTTTACATAAATACATAAAATGCAGTATAATATTGCATTTTATTTTAATGAAAAGTTAGCCGTTAAAGTTAAACGCAGTATTATACTGCGTTTTATTAAAAAAATAATTTTTTTTTGGAAAACAAACTACAATATTGCAGTTTCCTTAAACGCAATATTGTACTGCATTTTCCTATAAAAAACTATAAAATTTGGGCCCACCTTAATAAACTTCTGTAGGACTGTAGAGAATATTTGTTTTTTTAGTGTAAAACGTATTATAATATTATGTTTTACACTGAAACGTATTATTATACTGCGTTTTACACTAATTTTTGGGTCCACCAAGTGTTCTGCGGATAACTGACATAACAATAATTGAAATACATAAAACGTGGTAGTATACTGCGTTTTAAATAAAAAAAATTCTGCACCCCAAGCTCGGACTTGCCTTATTTAAAGGCGTTTGAATTTTATTAAAATCCATTCAAAACTTTCCTTCAACCTTCCGTTCATACAAAGAGCGCCAATCGAAGCAAGAAATTGCGGAGTTGAAGGCGAAACTCAATGAGGTGGAAGAAGAGAAAAAAAAAGCTAGAAGACCAGCTCAAGTGGTTGGAGCAGAGAATACTAGGCGGTTGTGACTAAACAATGGCATGTACGTGTTGAGCGTAGTGTATCTTTATGTTCCATTTGTCAAGTGTTTTCATTACTTGTATTGTTTGTGTTGTGTTAGGTCTGATATGTTTGTGTTTGCGTTGTACTATTAAAATAAAATTGTTGTTCAACCGCAGTTAAAATAAAATTATTGTTAAAATAGAATTGGTACCATTATTTACATAATGTAATATTTACACAAAGTACAAACATATGTAAATCAATTAATTATTGAATTGGACTAAGTAATTATCTATGGTTTCCAGGCTCGATATTTGAGGCCCGGTTGTACCAAGTTATCCTTAATTATTATGTGTGTCAATTTCAACATTTTAAAATTTTGTTAGTTTAATAAATTAAATAATTAATTATTGAATTGGACTGAGTAATTATCTATGGGTTCCAAGCTCGATATTTGAGGCCCAGTAGCACCATATCCTTAATTATTATGTGTGACAATTTCAATAAGTTTAAAATTTTGTTAGTTTAATAAATTAAATAATTAATTATTGAATTGAACTGAGTAATTATCTATGGGTTCCATGCTCGATATTTGAGGCCCGGTTGCATCAAGTTATCCTTAATTATTATGTGTGTCAATTTTAATATTTTTAAAATTTTGTAAGTTTAATAAATTAAATAATTAATTATTGAATTGGACTGAGTAATTATCTATGGGTTCCAGGCTCGATATTTGAGGCCCGGAAGCACCAAGTTATCCTTAATTATTATGTGTGTCAATTTCAACATTTTTAGAATTTTGTTAGTTTAATAAATTAAATTATTAATTATTTAATTGGACTGAGTAATTATCTATGAGTTCCATGCTCGATATTTGAGGCCCGATCGCACCAAGTTATCCTTAATTATTATGTTTGTCAATTTTAACATTTTTTAGAATTTTGTTAGCTTAATTATTATGTGTGTTAATAAATAAATAATTATTTAATTGTACCGAATAATTATCCATGGGTTCCAGACTCGATATTTGAAGCCCGGTCGCACCAAACTATCCTTAATTAGTAATTATCTATGGGTTTCAGGCTTAATATTTGAGACCTAGTTGCACCAAGTTATCTTTAATTCTTATGTGTGTCAATTTCAACTTTTTTAGAATTTTGTTAGTTTAATAAATTTAATAATTAATTATTGAATTGGACTGAGTAATTATCTATGCGTTCCAGGCTCGATATTTTAGTTAATTTGACAATATATATTAATTTGTTATTTTTGTAAGTTTAACAGGCTCGCTTGTGACTGAAGGTTCCAGGATTGTGATGTGTGCGGGACCTACACTTTTCGCTTTTTGTGTATGGGTGGGGCCCAAGTTTTTTTTAAAATTGCGCGGGGGACAATGGCTTCTATCGTGAAGCCAAGGAAAACGCAGTATTATAATGCGTTTTTCTATAATAAACTATAGGGAAATGTGGCCCAAATATTATAGGGAAACGCAATACAATAATGCGTTAAATGCAGTATTGTAATGCGTTTTCCTATAACAAATTATAGGGATTTAAATGTCCTGCAGATAGGAAAATTTAACTTTAACCACTAACTTTCCGTTAAAGTAAAACATAATATTATACTGGATTTTATGTATTTATGTAACTTTTTTTTTAAGGTAGAAACATATTTTGTGCCATTTTTGGCACTATTTTAGTTCCGGACTCATTAAAATGTCGAAACCCACAATTTAAGAAATTTGCACGAATTCGAACTTACACAGTGAAATAAACCGAGAAATCTAATCTTATTCCAATTCCAACATGCACTGGTAGTAGTAAACACCACCAATTACAGTAAAGACCCGACACAGTACGCCCGAAACCCGACCCACAATCTCAAAAAGGAAAAGGCTAAAAAAAAAACGAAAACCAGCAAATCAGTACACTGCGATCACATAGTTAACTAGACTAGATCATCATTAACATTAATTGATACGATTAATAATCTAAGAGAGTTGACCACAGTCAGCAATCACAACGGGCTTCGAGCACCTGCCGGAGCTAGATCCAACGGCTTCCACTTTCTTAATCACGTCCATTCCTTCAATAACTTGACCAAACACCACGTGTTTCCCATCAAGCCACTCGGTTTTGGCCGTACAGATGAAAAACTGAGATCCGTTAGTTCCAGGTCCAGCATTGGCCATAGAGAGAATTCCAGGTCCAGTATGCTTTTTAACGAAATTCTCGTCGGCGAATTTGGCGCCGTAGATCGATTCACCGCCGGTACCGTTTCCAGCAGTGAAATCACCTCCTTGACACATAAATCCAGGAATCACACGGTGAAATGATGATCCTTTGTAGTGTAACGGCTTGCCGGACTTTCCGACGCCTTTCTCTCCGGTACAGAGTGCTCGGAAGTTATCCGCTGTTTTCGGAACTACATCGTTGAACAACTCCATCACCACACGGCCGGTCGGTAGACCGCCGACGGTAAGGTCGAAGAAAACCTTAGGATTTGCCATCTCTCACTCTCTTCTAGAAATTTCTGTGGAGTTTTTAAGCTATGCTCTCACTGTATGAATAATCGATGCTTTGAGATTAAGCTAAAAGGAGTTTATATAGGAAATTGCAAAGCGGATAATTTGTTAAAGAGATGATCTTAACCGTTTATCACGACAGGTGTCAGCAGCATGAAGTGTGAATTTGACCGTGGTTAGTTTAACATTTTACCGCAGTTAGTTTAGCATATGGATCACGTGGTATATGCGTTTCTGATGCTGTGGGACCAGTTAGTGGAGAGAATTTCGATGTTTCGACTGACTTCGGCCCATTTTGTGGTCCACAAAAGCCCAAGTCCATTGGAACCGGGACAGCTTTTGTTTCATTTTGTAGTTTAAACTTTTTTTCCTCTTTTTGGAGATAGGCAAGTAGAGCCAAGGTTATATCGAAAATAGTATCTCTGCCCTTTTAGGGTCAGAATAAGGTTGTGTATATTTTACTTTCTCATAAATTATATCCCACCTATGAGAAAGTACTGGACTTATTATTGCTGAGTTAGGCACAGTAGGAAAACCAATTTGGACAGTCTATTGGTATGGTATATAGATTTTTTTTTTTGATAATAATAATTGTAGTTTTGAAAAAAGAAAATAGAATTTACAACAATAACAATAACAATAACAAAATCCAGTGTAACCCTACAGGTAGGGTCTGGGGAGGATAGTGTGCACGTAGACCTTACCTCTTCATTGTGAAGGTAGAAAGGTTGTTTCCGATAAACCCTCAGCCAAAAAAATTGAATTTACTATTAGAAAATAAAAACTATCAATTCATACATAGTCTGACATTCCCCGGACACTTTTGTTTTTAGAAGTTGAATTTACAATAGCAACAACAACTATACCTCATTTCCAAATAAAGTTAAGGTATATGAATACTCACATCTTTCTTCCAGCTCAACTCATATCGTTTCACTAGGCAAATACAGGTTATATTAGCGGTGGGCATTCAGGCAGTTCAGATTAGATATAAAAATTTCAGTTTGGATTTTCTGTTTTTTGATTGAAGAAATGACAATTCAAATCCAATCCAAATAAGCTCGGATTGGATTGGATTTTTTAAGTTCGGATTCAGATGAATTGGTTTGGATATTTTGGATTTTTGATTTTGAGCCTATAAGTTAAGATATTTCTTCTTCTTACAAAAATAAATATCCA